TGTTTTATTGCCCTTTGAACCATGCCTAACTACTATTCATGCCATTATAAGTTGTAAATCCCTCGGGCAATGTTCAGCTCACGTTAAGCTAACGAATTACATTACCCACGAGCTGCTCACATGTGTGTGCCTTGTGAAACATTTTTATTATAATATCATTATTATATATTTTACCTAATCTAATCTTAACAAACCTAAAAGGATCCTTATTTTTACATTTTAGTTACTTTTATAATTATACATAAAGAATAAAGATGAAAAACAAGAAACAAAATATTTAACCAATCTTCTTTTTTTCTTGCTGTTCATTTTCAAAGAGTTAACCCTAATTTTTTATACTACTGATAGTAATGAACTTAATTTTTATTGAATTAAATAATGCACTAAAGAAAATAATGCAAAAAGTAGAAAAATTCCATTACCTCTCAACTAATAATCCTGCCACATAAATTGTAAATTACTTGGCAAGCATGTAGCTTCTGTTACCATACAAGTTATGTAGTGCATGAGCTACTCACAAGCATACCTCATGAAGAATTATTATATTATTTATCTTTATTTATCCTAATGAATTTCTAACTTTTACATTTTAGTTACCTTTACAATAATAAGTAAAAAATACATATGAAAAGCAAAAAATATAGAACTTACCTGGGTTTTTTTTTTGCTATTGATGAAACATATGCCTACTTTTTTTGTATACTAATGGTACTACTGCACTAAATAACTTTTATTTAATCAAATAACGCACCAAAAAATACAGAATAATAGCACACAAAAAGCAGACATTGTCCAATAACTATCATAATTTCTCTGGCTTTCTAAATTCCACACTTCTCAGAGATGTAGTAAATAAATTAGAGAATAAAGAATACCTGAAGAACAAATATCACAATTTTCTAGTTTATGGCTCCGTAAACAAATAAGATTGAAAGTTCTAAAATTATGCTTTGCCTGAGTAATAACTATATCATAACAAGTAATTTACATTAAATTCCACACTTCTCAGAGAGGTGGTAAATAAATTAGAGTAAAAGGAACACCTAACAAACAAATATCAGAATTATCATATTAGGGAATATTGGGGATTTTTTCAAATATTTCCTTATAAAATGAAGAACTTAACACTTATATAACATTAAAATGTTATTTATTAACTATGTTTTGATGCCAAATATATTCATATACAATGATAATAAGGTAGTTAACTAAATTTTAATGTAACTCTAAAAAGTTATGACATGAGCACTTTAACCTGCCCATGATGAGTGTGTTAAGTAAACTGAAAATTCTGAACTTTACTTTCAAGCATTACATTTATTTCATTTTCCAAATATTTAGGAGTTTTAGGATCAATATGGCTTATTGTGCCAGGTAATGTCCATAGTTATTGAGTAAGGAAGTACAAATCTAGAAATGCATTACATACACATATTGATGACTTACATAAACTTTCTGAATGATTGGTCCAATGAAGATCTAAATTCTTTGCCAACACACAGCAAACACCATGAACAACTAATGATTCTTCAGTGAATGGTAGCCTTTCAAGTGCACAGACATCTACAAAAACAGAAGAGTTAGGTAGTAACTAAATTTAAAATACTGAATTTCATCTTTCAGTAATTTTTTCTTACTTATTTCATTTTCCAAATATTTTGGAGTTTTTAGGACCAATATGTCCTTCTATACTGGATAATGACAATCATTACTGGGCAAGGAAGCTAGAAAACACAAAACTAAAAATACATTAAGTTCACAAACTGTTGACTTACATAAACTTTCTGAATGATTACTCCAGTGATGATCTAAGTTCTTTGTCAACAAACAGCAAATACCATTAACCACTAGTGGTTCTTCAGTGAATCGTAGCCTTTCAAGTGCACCGACATCTACAAAAGAAGTTATATGCATGTTCAAGAGAACAGACAGACACTGACTTGTTACCTAATATCAAAAGTCTACTTCCAAATATATCAGAGCCACAGATCATGCAAGTTAAAAAAAAAAAAAAAGGTCTAGTAAAATCTTGATTTCACTATCAATCCGTCTACAAATCAGACCTTCTGGGGAAAAAAGAAGCTTTCTGGATACTAGAAAAGTCAACCAAATATGTTAAATAGCTAAAGAATTCCACAAAAAAACTAGAAATGGGATGTGTTTTTTATACTTTTTTTCTTTTAGAACCCAGAAGTCTGTTGATAATAATATACATAAAATTTGCATATATTTTGCAACAAGCCCTATATTCTACTATCCACAAAGTTACAGATAGATGCCACATATGATATAACAGGTGCATATAAATAAAAATACAAAAAAGAAAAAATTTCAAAAGTTACAAGTACCAACAAGCTTTCCTCTAACCCAACTGGGATAAAATTATACAAATCAATAACAGTAATTACTGTTCAGCACCATCATAAAATTTGGAAATTAGTATCTGCTGCAAAAAAATATCCATGAGTCCAGATACTATTTGGGTAATAATAAAGAAAAATAACTTATATTAAACTGATAACAAATACCAATATTTTAAATGCATAATACATATTAAATTCAGTAAATAAGTCATATATTTCCTCTCTACAGATCTGTAGATTTGCTTAGTCTATTTCATTACTGAAAACAATAATAAAATAATTTTCAAATTAACAACTGATACCCAGGTAGTAGAACAACAACAACAACAAAAAAGAGAGACCCAGGTTAGGTCAGGTTATTTAAAATCGGTAGATACCCAGGTTTTGGGGTACCTGTAACAACCTCTAATGGCAATCAAAACCTACTAAGATATTTGTCTGAACTATATAAAAAGTAAAAAGATAAATATAATAAACTTCATAAGTTCCAGTAATTAATGATACCAAGCTATCTCTTTATGAGATGTAAATACTTCAATGTTCTGTAAGACACATGAAAAAGTGGGTAGCATATTTCTTGGGTCATCATAATAGGTATGAAAGATTCTACTTAAACTTCAGAGGTCAAAGAAGTCAATATATCACTGAATCAGCTGGGGAAATTTCTGTATCTTATCAGTTTTTTTTTTTCAGAATGAAGGACTAGATTATTCTAATCTATCAGGCTGATATATCTGTAACTCCATAATTATTTTTGTACATGCTCTCCATGATACAAGATCTTTCTTTGTCAATGATTTTTTTTTAATTTGTTCAACATGAACAAATTAAAAAATTAGAAAATGTGTCTAATTAAAATGGTGTTAAGAAAACTAAGGTACACTGGTTAAAAGATAATAGAAGTTTCCACTGAAGCCATGATGGTTATATATATACTAACAAGGCTCATACCTAATTATTCATGAGGACTACTTTAAGTATGTAAAAATTACTTTCAGGCACTCTTCCATTAACTAGTTATGCTTTCATATAACATGTACTAGGCTACCAACAGATCAACCACCACCCTGTGATGGATCTATTCCAGTTTGGCTGAGTGACATAAAGCAAGTGGAGTTAAGCCAGTACTGTTGACAAAGCAACACTCCCCACCAAATCTGGTGAAAGAATGCAAATGTAAAAAAGGATGCAATGCACACACACTCAAAAAAAAAATATTGTGTAAGAAAAAAATCTTTTTAAACGTTCAGTTGTTTCACAGAACCTGTAAAAAAATGTTTATAAACACCTAGTATTTAATAACACTCTCTAGAACTGCCACTATGGCAAAGACCTTGAATATTCACCTACATACACATATACAATGTACTATATGATTAGGTATTTCTTACCATGTCTTTTTAAAACCTATAATGAACAAATTCAATGATGTCTACAATTTCCTTCTTTTAACTTAAAATATAAAAAAATGCATTAAAATTATTTTATATATTTTATCTAATAAATGATGAAACTATGTAAGCTATAAAAAGTTCACTTATATAACACTATGTAGCAGTGTATCCTTGTCTTTTCAATATGCACCATTATTCTACAATGTACACAATCATGTGTGTGTGTGTGTGTGTGTGTGTGTGTGTGTGCAAAATGGCAACCTTGGCCTTTAAGCCAAATAAAATTTTGCTGCCCTCAAATCCAGCATAGCAGGAAGATTCTTAATAAACGTATTCTGACAATCCAAATATTATGCAAAAACCTCAGGCTATAAGTGTTGTAGGGTCAACATTAACCTTGAGAGACAGTCAGATCTCCACTCAACACTAAAACTTCTAAATAACTTAGGAATATTACGGAAAGATCTACCTTTTGAAAGTACTGTGTTATAGTTTCTTATTTTTGTCTTTCACTGATTTTTTTAACATACACATTTTCTTAACATCATGAATACTATTTTTCTATTGTTTAAGCAACTTTTGTAATTACACATCCATCTCAAATAAAACCACTAAATGTCATTACACCCAGGAAACCCAAAAATTTATAGTTAATTCTGAGTCACAGCAATAAAAGGTTCCAAACTACATATAATTTCCAACAACTTTTTTAACTGAACAGTTTAATTTGCTTGAAATAAGTTTGACATACACAAAAGTTATTTTCATAAACATAAAATGTATTTCCAAACATACTTACCTCTGCTGAAACTAATAGCTATTTCTCAGTCTTCATCTTTCCCACCTAACATTTTGTTTGCTTGCTCCAGTCTTTATATACCCCACTCGACTGCCCTCAGCAATATCAAATTTGCAAAACTTTACACCGGCCTTCACACGCCCTCTATGCAGGTACTGTATATAAGCATTGTATGCAGACAATAAAATCACTTTTTCGTGACTTACCTCATTGTGGTCACTAACACTGGCCTTTAGTGGGGAGGAAAGGAGGGAGAGTGTCAGCAAAGGTAAGTATGTTTGAAAATACATTTTCAGTTTAGGAGAATGATAACTTCCAAAACATACATACCTCTGCTGGCACTAATAGCTAGAATCCCACATTGACAAGGCAGAGGGGCCGGTGAGGACAGAGATCATACAGAAAGCATCTGCAGAGAACGATTATGTATCACGAGAAGTGGTATCACAGTGGGGAACACCACACTACATCCAGAACAAGTATGCTCTTCACCCAGAACTACAGAAAATTGAAAAGGGTGGAATATAATACAAGTATATGGTCCAGCCCCGACCAAACACCCGAAATTCCATAACTTGGGTTGGATTTAAGGGACCATGGTACCCATATCCCATGTTGGTGGCCAAGGCAGTTGGACCGCAGATATATATATATATATATCTTTGTGATAGGCTTCCTACAAGTAACCACAGAATTATGCATTTCGAACCACTAAATTTATGAAAGAAAGAAAGCAACACCAAAATGGACAATCCTTCTGATCAGCCTGAAGAAGTACAAAAGGCAACATCCCAGGTCTGGATTGACGGGATCATATACCATACTTCACCAAAGTCCATAACTCATCCAGTCTGAATTTAGAAACAGTTGTCTTTACTCCTCCACCAAGTGGGCAAGGAGAATTCTGCTTACCCATGGAATTATGGAGAGAATGTGGAGCACTATCCCACCAAGGACCAAAGATGGGACCACGTTCTGTTCGGATTTACAAGGAGATAGCATCAAATCTGGACTAGTTTTATGAGTAGGCTCCTGCATAGGTTGCTCCTGTTCCTACCAATATCTGGGAAAAAATATCCAGGGACCAAGGTAGGGGGGTCCCCAACTTTGCCCTCTTCTCCAAGAGTGGAGAAAACTCAACACTCTGAAGGAAAATCTTCTGTCCACCACCTTAGCGACTGGGAACTGGGTATGATAAGGACTCCTGAGCTCCACAAGTAGAGGGGGGGGCAGGTCTCCGGAGACATTGCAACAGGTGAACCACGTTCCCTAATTTTTAAAATCAAGCTGATCTTGACTATTTCAGTTCTAAAATCAGCAATGACTGGCAAAATCCCCTTTAGCTTTACTCATGATATTCCATGAGTAGCGGTCCATTAGAAATATTGTAATAAAATATCACCATCCAAATGGTCTTATGGAACACATTTTGACAGAGCCCACTGCAACCAGGAACCGATATAAAGGTTGCTAGTGCGGAATTTAAATACAAGCATACTCGACTGGGCAACACTCGCCACTGAGTGGGATCCAAAAGAAATCAATAGGGACCCTAGAAGAGAAAAGAACAATAACTATAAGTCAGATAACACGTTACTCACCTCCCTGTTAAAAATCTAGTAGAGGTAGTCAACACAGCCACAGGGGGAAGAGGAAACTGCCAGATTGTGAAAATAAGATATGAACGTGTCGAGAAGTCCACATACCAGCCCACAAAATATCTTCTAGAGAACCAGGCAGCCAAAGAAATTGATAGGTGTCAAATCTGGTGAGAGGTGAAGTGGAGCATATTGCAATCATTAACAGATAAGCCTGAATAGGTAATATGGATCAACTTCTGAAGCTATCTGGTTAAAGTAACAGGTGATAAAAATCCCTGGACACTGCAGGATCCCAATGAATATAAAATCTGTTCTTAGAGTCTCGAAATGATTCGTTACAAGCCACATAACATCCGAGTGCCCTGACAGGAGATAACAAACGATCTGGGTCTGATCCACTGTAAAGATGAGAAATGCCAGGTAAATGAATAGGAGAAAAAGATCTGTTTCCTTCTCTGGTAGTGAGAGTTTTTAGAATAAATGATCGGTTGGGATAGAGCAAAACATAGGTAGAGTGATAGAGTTCGCTGAACATGAATGTCAAATAAATCAGAATGACAGCATCCAGAAGCTAACAGCAATAAAAAATAAACTGTGAGGGAAAGATGATATAATGAACAGGAGGCTATGGGTTTGAAAGGATGCCGTGATAAAGCATGTAAAACAACCCTAAAGTCCCAATTGGGCAGAAGGTGACTGATCAGATGAGTCCTCAGGAAAGGAAGCTCTAGTGAAAGGAGGAGCAGAAAACAGGGAGTCTAAATTCTCTCCAGAATATCCTGTTTCAGAATGAAAGTTCAAATCAGAACCTCCGGGAGAGATACCCCCAGGCCACATCTCGCCCCGAATCAGGTCACGGACACCTTTCACAGAGAGTGGCTCTCCCCTCGACTGCTGACCACCACTAGATAACAAAGGAGAAATAGACAAAGGTTGAGTAGCCTCCGTGCTTGAAACCTTTACACAATAATTCATATCCAATTTTTTTTGTAATATATTTGTAGGAAAAAAAACAAAAAAACAAATTCAACGAAATATATCTCTAGATAACAAAACAAAGAATTTCCGATTATTAGAAATTGAAAACTAAAAAAATGTAAATCAACAAACATTAGTCTGAATGCTCGCGCTTTAGCAAGAAAAAGTGATTTTATTGTCTGCATGCAATGCTTATATACAGTACCTGCATAGCGAGTGTGTGAGGGCCGGCATAAAGTTTTGCAAATTAGATATTACCAAGGGCAGTCAAGTGGGGTATATAAAGACTGGAACAAGCAAACACAATGTTAGATGGCAAAGATGAAGATCGAGGAACAGCTATTAGTGTCAGCGAAGGTATGCATGTTTTGGAATATATTTTAATGATGTAGCAAAACTTAACACAATACAGAAAACTATAACAGGAATTGTGCTAGTTACCTAACTTGAGCTTCTACTTTCACAATATTCTAGGCCCTTGGTAACTGCAAATTATATAAGCCATGGAAGTAAAACTTTGCACATTTTTGTTAATACATAAAACAATACCACACAATATCTTAAAACACTTAGAATATATGTCATCTATACCATACAAAATTATCAAAATTTGATGTTACTATTAATGTGTATACAATTTCATGTTAATTTATCTTGGACATACATTTGGAACCTGGAGAATGATGTTACAACAGTACAACTTCATACTGTTAATCATTCAGCTTCCTTTTATACATTAGAATAATAAAAAATATCTATTCTGAAAAGAAAATTAATTTTATAAACTGGAAAATTTTGCAGTCTTATAAAATTCCATTATCCCTATTTTTAGAAAACACAAAAATCAACAATTAATATCAAGACATTTGTGTACAGCATTTATTGAGCTATGTGTCCATATAGTATCCAATACAACCTCAATAAGCCTAAAGAGGTTAAAAACAATGAACACTTTAAATAATCCAGTAACAGTTTTAATTAGAAACAAGATAATTATCTGATCTAATTGGATATTACACTATCAGATGAAGTCAAATTGGGTATTACTTTTGCAATGAATAGGATAACCACTTAGCAGTTCCATCAATGAATTATTTCAATATTACACAGGCATGATACTAACAGCATGTACATCGCACATATCAGTTATTGCATCACCTAGCCCACTGGTTTTTTTTCTATTAGCTTTTAAACATAGTAGTATTTCCCCAGTATTAAAAAGTGGGAGCCATGGTAGTTGTAATGCAGATACTTGTTACATAATTTGAAAAAACATGATGCCACTATATGCCACAGTAGCAGTAGTAACAACAATAGCAAACACAATCCAAACATCAGTCTCAGTGGGGGATTCTGAGGTGCCTCTTGTCACTATGTATAACATTTCCTTCAAAGGGCCTGCAATGATTGCCTATTCACGTGGATTTGTACATCCTTGTGTACATCATAATTAAAGTTTCAAAAAAACAATGATAAAGTAACTTGTTTAATACTAACAAAGCAGTAGCACATGTTTGTGGAGCATTTTTCAATACATATGGCCATATCTACTATCCAATTCAAATCTGATCAGACATAAGGAGATGGATATATTATTTGTTCCACCCCTGGTTTTAATCAAAGATAAGTGAAAACTACGCAACCAGCTTAGTTACAGAAGCATAATATATTTTGGATAGTATGCTGATCACGTTAAATTATTAAGCTTTTCATTGCTTGTATGCATTAAATGCAGGAAAATATTCTTTACTGAAATTGCAATTATCATATGAAAGATTAAAAATTTCCATTTAAAAACATACTCATTTAGTTGAGTGAATGCATGAAGTTAATATGAAGAGCTATTCCTAGAAACTCTATGTAGTTATATTTCTAGCACTATTATACAGCACAGTTTTTGTTTTTACAATAACTGAATCTTTTTATCATCAAAATCTGTCTACATCTCAGCTTTAAGAACTCCACAGAGCACAAATTGAATAACAACCCTGTACTATCTCACCCTAAAAATACCAATTACTATTTCCTTTAAACAAACCACAGTTGTAAACTAGTTTGTTATCCACATTCTGCAAAGCTTTATTTAGCAGAATCACAGTTGCATTAGTCATTACTTTTAAGATTCTTGCTATTCTGCCTGGTACTTTAAAGTTTTCTACAATTTTAGAGTTAAATCATATTTGAAATGCACATGTATGTAACACAAAAGAAATCGACTTGAATTTTTCCAGGTGCAATGTATCAAAACTATTATTATTATGTGCACATTATTAGTTTTGATACTTAATGCTAGGGACTATTTGTCGAGGGATCGAAATATTACATTCCCGGGGAATTTAACTTTGCTCGAGAAATTTCACAATTTTAATTGTCTTTCCTGAATGCATGATCCATCTGTATTCTTTTAGTTATGACCAATGAAACTGAACATATTGCATGGATTAAATAGAAAAATTCATGGGGATATGTAATTTTACGTAATCTTCCCGACAGCTTTCCCTGAAGTAAATGTAATTTTATTTCATTATTTCTATCCCTGATGTAATTAATTTATAAAAAACATAAAATTGGAAAGTAATTGATGAACAAAGTTCTACCTAAACTTAACATCATCAATATCTACTTTATTTGCAAAGTTATATGCAGTCTTCAAGATTATGTAGGACTGTTCTCACAAAGTCCAAAAATTAAGATAGCAAAACAATTTGTTCAAACCTAATAAACTTTGTCAGTACTGTATAATAAATTTTTATAAACATCAATGATCAAACAAGTCAAAGAATTACAATTAGTTTTTTTTCTGAAGTATTTTATATTTGAAAAATTTAAATCAGTTACTTTTCTGAACTCACAGAATTTTTGGGGGTGTTTTGGTTAGCCAGGGGTGGTGCCAGCCTCTTACTAGTGTGGAGGCTGAGATGGGCTGGAAAAAATTGAGAGAGCTGCACTCCACATCTTATAAATCCACATACTCTTAGTATTTAGAAAGTGAACCAGCTTTAACAAGTTAACATTGCTCATTGAGTGAGAGGGCTACAGAAGCTAAGGTACATTTTGTGGTAGCTTTAGCCCCAGAACCCCTTGCCTATAGCTAACAATGTTTGGTAAATCGTTATGTATTTCCAGAAACTTGTCTCAACTTCAAACAATAGACACATTACACCTGTATTGTAATCTAAGTCAAGCAGTACACTTTAATGCAACAATGCCATACTCAAAGAGTTTTCTAGCTTTATTTTCCTGTGGTATACTGTAATTATCCACTTGCAGCCTCTGGCAGATTAATACAAAGGGCTGATGAGGCTTCAGCACTAGGGTCTCAAAGGCTTTGGAGAATCCAACCTTAACCAATTTTGAAAAATAGAAAAATGGGTCCCTAAAAATGTATAAGGCTTAATATGGCCCTGTTTGCAGCAGACTAACATTTGAGTGCACAAGTTGTAATCAGCTTGTATAATAACTCCAGTTTATTCAAGGTCATGAAACATTTTTTTTTTGTTGAACCTGACTTCTATTCATGGTGTCTGTAACAATGTTTAATAAGTCTTTGGAAAGCTAATATCTTACTCTAGTATTAAATATATATATCATACTGTATTTGCATGTACAAGGATGTTCTTATTTTCTACTACAATCCGTGTTCTATGTATAACAATGTTTGCAAATACTGCCAATTCCATTGTATCATATCATACTTCAAGCATCATTTATGTTATTAAGTTGCTTTTGTAACCCCTTACTTGTACCATATTAAACTCATAATAATCTTTACTGTTTGTGTAAGCTCTTTTTCTATCTACTGCTATTCTATGGTAACCACATAAACCTAAGGGAGATGATGCAAGTCAATATATATTTTATACAAAGTACTGGTCATATTCACCCTTCTTCAAGCTTCACTGTAACTTACTAATATCTATATATCATAATAAGTAACTTATGTTAAGCCTGTAATTCATAGAGTAGTGTTAAATAAATTAGAAGATGGACAAGACCTAGAGAACAAATGTTACAATTCTTATACAAGGAGAATTGAGGTTTATTTAAATATCTCCTTTATAAATTAAGATATTAAAACTTGATTTATTAACTATGTTTTGATGCCAAGTTTATTCATTATACATTGATAATAAAGTAGTTTAATTTTTTTATGTAACTCTGTAAAAGGTCATGACATGCGCAATTTGACCTACCTGTAGCAAGAGGGTTAAGGCAATCTGCTGTATTACCATTTGGATAATGTATCGCATCTGATCAACTAATGGAATGTGTTCTCCTGGACTACCCTGAAATGTCATATTAAGATGGCATAAATACACATGGGAAGACTTTCAATCATGCTTGTGATGAGTAAGAAAAGTACTAGTTCAGTTAAGATTTGAGAACATTACACTGAATCCCAAGAAACATGAATTATTCCTGGGACATAGTCAGTGAAGAGGGAGTGTCTAAAGACCCAACCAAGAACGAGTCTATATGTAACTGGTCAGTACCAGAGAATGTGTAAACAAAGAGGACTTCTTGGATTTTGCTCCTACTATCATCATTTTGTAAAATCACTCTCTACATAAACTATTAGAAAAAAATCAAACAAATTGTGCTGGACTGCTGACTGTAAACATGCCATTAACAAGACATACAAATTAACCACTAATCCCACACCAGAATAACTCTTTTAAGACTCATTCATAATAGATAACAAATACAAGTGATTTTGCAGTGGGAATAATGTTATCACAAGCACAGAATTTAAAAGGTCATGTGATCACCTACCAGAGCAATTTAATGAATTCTACAAAAAGGAGGTACTTTGCAATTCAAAAAGAACTAGTAAATCTTGTTCAAGCCCTAAATCCATTACAGCACTATCTATATAGACATCAGTTTGCACTCATGCAGCATTAAAGACCATGATGAATTAATGCAATCCAGAAGACCAGATAACAGGATGGCTCCATAAACTTCAAAAGTAAAAAACTTCAATGTCTTGCACTGCCCTGCAGAGAACCATGAAAATTATGATGCTTCATCCCAAGTACCTTATATTACTGAATAACACAAACACTGGGAATAGAGGGAAGCACAAGATAATAAACACAACAATCCAAGGTACAACACAGCACAACCCAAGGTCAGGCATCCAAAGATGATGAAGAACTAATGTCATCTTACAGTCCACTGAAAGATGTTCAGATAAAAACATATCAATATTAATCCAATTATTCACCATATCAAAAATAAAGCAGAATGATCAAGGCAGAAATGGGCTCAATACAGCCAATGTAGAAAGATGTACTATGCACAGTGGGATTCATTATGCTTACAAGAAGATTTGTTTTGTCAAAAAAGGGAAGATACCAGTGGATGGAAATTATGACTTCATAAGGAACATTAACATTTGCTACAATCAGAAGCATCCAAACATCTCCACAAACTTTCAACAACTGGACACATAGTGTTAAAAAAAAAACACTAGGGAGGATACAAAAACAACTCTACTGGGTCATATGCAGAAATTCTGTATGGAATAAGTGAAAATCATGAGAACTGTGATGTGAATGAAACAATATTAGCAACTATAGCAGAACTGTTTGGAACCATTCCAAATAGTTTTTGTCAATATACTTGATGTTCTAACATAGAGCAACTGTGAGAATAAATACATCTAAGTGGTGGTCAACTTTTTCATCAAACCAGCTAGAAGCATATGTTACTTTTAATCATGAAACAGTAATTCAAGATCAAGATCATTCATTCACAATGTTGATAAAGGTTAGACATTATCCTACCTTCTTACCATTAGCCACACAAAAAAGAAAACACATTTAGTGACTGGACAACCTGGGATATTAAATGAGTAAAAAAAAAACATTTTCTTTATTTATTGCTCAACATTTTGACTGTTCTTTGTATCACGTACATAATTACTGTTGTAATGATTATAATGTTTATACTTATGAATATTAATGTTGTTACTTTTATTGTTAACAATGGAAGTTTCAATTTAAAGTACAATTATATTCTTTGACTAATAAGATTGTTCAAGAGCCTTCACTATCCCAGGTGGGAGTAATGTTGTTACCTAAGTTTCAATTCAAACTCATATTGTTTGGAGAGATGGAAGTTTGATGTATTATGATATGCATGGCTCAACAACTAGAATCTTCTTGAATTTTAGGAAAAGCCTTGAAGAATATGTGAATTAGGATAAGATAGATTATTACTGGTTTTTGAGAGAGCATTGGTAAGTTATTGCTTGAAGTAGTATAATATTGTTTGATTAAGTTTGTTAGATAGTTAAGTTCAGCTTGTAATATTAAATTTCTATTCTCCACAAAGTAATAAGGTATATATATATATCACAAGCTATATACCAAGAGCAAATGTATTTTAGTGTCTACTGTAAAGTTAGGACTATCAGCGAGCATCAGTTAAGCTAACTTGTAGAACTTGCAATCAAAAAAATAATGTATTCATTAAGTGAGCTAGCCTTAGCATTCTGCTTTTTTGGCGAGTTTTTTTTTCCAAATAATACCTTTACAACATAAATCATTACATCAATATAAATAAAAGATTTGGAAGATACAAAAGTAAAAATTTAAATACTAAAACATACAAAATCCAACATACCTCCTTTGAGTACAAACTCAATGATACTTTAATTTTTTTTTTGTTTTCCAGCACTAACAAAAATTATTCAAGGAATTAAGTATCTTAACAATACTATCCACAATATTAGAAACAAACTGTACAACTAAAAGTTAGTATCAATAAAAGTAAAGTAATTATCTTTTCAAGATGTGTATATAATTATAAAAAGACAATTTCTTACATATATTTCCCATGCAAGAAAACCATTAAGCTTCTGATAATTGAATGCATTTTATATTTAAAGATTTCTTGACAATTTTTGTATGTTTTAACTTCCAGATTTTTAATTCCCGTATCTTAAAAGCTTTTTACATCATTGTAGTTGTTAATAAAATAGCCTACAAAATTGTTATTTATTGAAGATTGCATGGGTATTGTACTTGATATATATAAAATTGTTGTATACTTTCTACATTTCTAATGCTAATCTTTCATAAAAAAAAGGTGAGCACCAATGACCTAGTCATTTCAAGGAGGCTTGAAAAAAAGCAAATGTCTAAATAATATGGTAGAGAATAATTAAATCTGAACTATTATTCAATTTGTGTGGTTATTGTTATTCTAACATCAACCAGATATCTCAGTATCAGTCAATTCGTCAATTTCAATCAGAGATCTAAAAGCTAATTAACCATAGCCCACTGAACAATGGAGCTACAAGTATTCCATGCTTAGCAAAGCAATCTGTACTTACATGGTTAGGGATGGCACGTAAGTTCAAATCCCACACATCTGGAAATTTCCCTTCTTACCAAAATAATCAATAACTTACATCTGAAACAGCCATGCCAGTTAAGTGATAAATTTCTCAGTAAATGCAGTTTTTCAAAGAAAAATTTGAGGATGCATATTATATTGTTTACTTTTGTTTCTTTGTATCTGAGATATAATACTGAAGAAGCCTTTACCATTCACAATATTGCCAAATGTTTTGTAAAACACAGGCAAAGTGTATGACAAATAATTAATTTAAAAAAAAATTACATGCAAGTGTTTTCAAAAAGAACTACTACTGCTAGATAAAATCAGACAATCTTTGGCAATAGATATACAAAATATTTTACCCTTAAAAACCTAAATGCAGACTTCTAAATAAAGTAAGTTATTTCACATTTCTTTTATTTCTATGACAGTAAGTATATCAAATCAAGTGCTTTAGGCTGATAGATTTGAATTTTAAGTATTTTAGTGTGGTTATGAAAAGTTTGAATGACCAAATGGTTTATCTGTGACTCCAACACGGGTTTAATGACTTTCTGTTAGTTGGCTGCTATCCTTACTAATACTTTACCCTGAATTTTATGTGTCCTGCTGTAAAAAGTACGTAACATACACAACTTTTTCACAATTAAGTGTAATTTTTTATTGTAATTAGTATGATATGATAGTTGGTATAAAATGACTTCATTTTTCTTCACTAGAGAAATTATCTTTAGAAAATTAAGGGAGTTAGCAACTTCCACAAGTTTTTGAATTCCCTTGTGTAGCTTCTAGCCATATAATATTCTAAATTCATATTGTTTTCCTCTACAACTATGAAACATTTATTAAAGCATTTAAAAAAATCTTGTCAAACACAGTATTTTGCATCTCCTATTCTTACTAAACTATAAAATGGGTAAGCAGTGAGCACCTGCTCCTAGTCATTTTTTTTGCGGTTATTTTACTATAATTATAGCAATCTATGCTTTTATCAAATTCCTTCATCAGTTTATGAGAGAACTGTGTAGATATATAATAATAATAATATGAGATCTAAAAATAATTTCATTCTCCATAATACATGATTTTCTTCTTTTACCCACAAAACTATTAACAAACAAAATGTCCCTAAAGTCAAACAAAAATAATGTACAGTATAACTACCAAGCTGAAATAATTTTGTGCCATCACAATGATTGGAGCCATAAAGCCTTAGTTATTAACATCAAGGAACATGATTAACAAAACTTTATTTCTACAAGTATACAATGATCTTATGAACAATCAGATGATGTAACATTTAACATTCTTGGTCTTATACAAAAATGATAGGTATGAAAAAAGTAAACTTTTGCACAATTTTGTATTATCATATCTTAAACTGTATTTTATTGTTAACAAAATTAGTTTTGTTTGTATCAAAATGTTGAAACTAATAATGTTTTCTAATTTGGGTACTTAAAATGCAATTTTCAGTATAACAGAAGAAATAAATATTTTAATATATTGTTATAATGCTGAAGTATCAGTACTACACCTTACAGGGCCAATAACTGTTTACCACTGCCATTTCCATTTTTAGGATTTTATACACTTTCAAAGCAGCTTCTAACACATATGAGAATATATAAAAAGACAGTAAAAAAATATCTCTATCTTACATATAAAAGAAAATTTTCACATCGCATATGTATATAACCAAAAGTATAGCTAAACCATAAGTTCAAAACATATCTCGTGAAAGTAAACATCAAACACATGCATCAGCGTGACGACATCGAGTTTAAAACTACCTCATGAAGTATCAAAACTTCGAATTACTTACCATATCTAAATCTTAAACACCTTACCCAATACTTAAAATTTACAACAGGAGATAAGAATAATTAACCACTTTTGATTAAAAACAATAACAACAAATCAAAAAGCGTAA